TTAATCGTCTTACATGATTAATTTGATCGTTCAAACAAAGTTATTTTCAGATCTGTATCGACTGTGCCTAGTTAAATTTTTAGATATTTCAACAAAACCGTCTTTCCGTGTAAGAGTAATAATACAAGAGTAAAATTTTCAAAGGTATCTGAAATAAAAGGCCTGAATAAAAAAGTGCGACGTAACGTGCGTGCTATCTTGGTTTTGCGACACGATTCCGAGACCGGAAGAGCACTTAATTGTCCCGTTTTACTCTCTCGCGGTGTCGAATCCAAGTTAGAAAAAAAAACATTTCCCGTTATGCCGCGCACACAGTATGGAAACGCGTAACGCGAGACGAAGAAAGGTAACGTACACCCGCAGATTACTTTGCATCTCGTAACAGAGACAAATTCCCTCGCACAATACGCGAACCCCGAGGCCCCCGACGATCAAAGGATCCGTGCAAAGGATACAAAGAGGAGAAGGTCCCCGAACATGATCGAGACGAACAATGATCGAGGGACGCAGGAAATCGGTGAACGCGAGTGAGTCTGCTGGATCTTCTTTTTTTTTTTAGGGCAACTCCCGTTTGAAGTTTATTATTGGAGGGAAGAAGGGCGTACCGTTTGAAAAAAACGATCGAGATTTCCCCGATCGACCTCGATCGATTGTACGCCGAAATCCTTCTGTGGCCGTTGCACTCCTAATGCAACGGATCTTGAGATCTTCGAGAACATATGGGTCACGATTTGAACGGAAATCTTTTGCTCGCAATACGAGTACGACGAAAATAATCGCTCTTATAGAGGGAACTTTAATCAATATTCGTGAATTCAGCGGATCCGGACATCTTCTTCAACTGCGTTTCGAAAAATTGTTTATAATAAATGTTTACAGAATCTTGACATGATTTACATGATTTTGAGCAATCCTATTCTTCATATTTTAACTTAGAAAATGAAAAAAAAATCGTTTAATTATGTTAACTTGAAGAAAAATATACTTAATAAAATTTACTAAATCTTAATACATATTTCTTTGAACGGTATTAAATAAACATTTATTTACAGTAACTATTTACTCAATAAAAATGATAATTAAATCAAATTAATAGTTTATGTATCAAATAAATATATGTTTACATTCAGTAAACATTTACTTAGAACTATTCAATCAAACAAACATTTATTAAAATTTAGTATTATTTTTCAGTGTGTGTATATATACATATATACAATACAATATATCAGTGATATATATCAGTTAAGGAAATTTAAGAGAAAGTAGTAATTAATTTAATTGAAAGAAATAATCCCATTTTCGTATTTTGATGACAATAATGCAAATGTTTTCAAATATAATACATTTTTCAGTTTTATATAGACTATTCGGTTGTCGGATTTGAAACGCAAACTGTGAAATATTAATATTTCAAGTTACATTGATCGTCAATCTATTAATGATGCATAATAAGCATCTTAAAAGCTGCAGAAAACTTATTGCGAAAAGATGTTTATCAGTATCGTTAATAAATCGACGATCAATCTAATTTGAGATATTAATATTTTAGCAGTTCAGTTTGAGATTGCATTTCAAATCCGATAAATCTGCATGCAGTATATAAAACTGAAAAATATATTTGCAAAAATTTGCAAATGTCAAAATTTGTGAATGTCATTACGATCGAAAATAAAATTTATTTCTCTCGGGATCTATTTTCTATTTATATCTAAAGTGATTAATTACTTATTGTGTATTAAAAGCATTACAGACAACAAACTAAATAATACAGTAATAAGTGATTGATTAAAAATAAATATAATTAATCATTATCTGTCAGTATTAAATTGGATTTCTGTAAAGGCAATGAAACTAATCCTACAACGACCTATTTCTACATGAATGAACAACGTGGACTTTTATATACAATATTTTCCACTAAAAGTTAGAATTATAAGATTGATAAGATATTGAAAGAATTAATTAAGACTATTTACATATGAAAAATTCAGTTCGAACTAAAACTTCACGAGACAATTGTGTCGTTTGAAATTTTTCCAATCAAACAATCTAATACGATAATCAATCTTCCCATTGAGATGGGCAACGCAAGTTTATTCATAGACGGATAAACTTGCAAGGAAACAATTTGCATTCGAGTAACACAATTAGCGGAGAATACAGAGAGAGCTCGTAAAAGAGTTATTGAAATGAAATTTAATCTATGTTGAGCATTCGGGGAGAGAATTAAAGCTAAATACGACAAATATCCGGGGCCCCGATGTAGCCGATAAATTAGCGCAAATTCGAGAACAGCGAATTAATTGGTCGGTCGTTGGCCGAGGAGGAAATACGCGGCGGCCGGTAATTAGATTGCGCCGCTAGCATTTCGTCGGAAATGAGATTATCTCGTAACGAAGAATAAATCAGCAGATTGCCCGTACGCAAATAGCCCGGCGAGCCGCGGAGATGGGTCATACAGCTGCAGATTATTAAGTTTTATCTTCGCACACAATAGCATTAGAGCGGGCACCGAGTTCGACGTCGGGCGAAAAAGAGAGAAGGAGAGAATAGAGAGGCAGAGAATATGCGCCACCTCCGCCACCTCCGCCACCTCCTCGGCGCGCGCTATTTCAATGCGGAAAAATATCAATAAGATAGGTAATTAATCCTTTATTACTTCATGGCGTGTCTAGAATATTACCGAAGAAAATTTACTAAAGTTACTTTGGATATACTTTTAATAAATATTTCTTTAAATACAAACGAAATTAAAATTAATAAATCGATATTTATTCCATAAAAAATTATACTTTAATCAAATTAAATAAATATATGTTTACATTTTGTGAATATTTAAAGTTAGTATTATTTGAAGAAATATTTATTAAAATTTAGTAATTTTTTTGCAGTGCAAATTGTGCCTCAATTTTATATAAATTTGCTAAATGCTGTTTGTACACATTATTATATTTAATTACTTTTTTTCGTGTAAGTTCGTCAGTTTTAAGAAGTCCAGTACCGTAGATGCACGTAAATAATAACTGATGCGTGTTACGTAATAAACGACCTCGAACTCGAATGTATTATACACGTGCTCCGTTGGCCTACTTTTCGATCCCGAAAGCTCCACTTCGTCGACTTATCCCGTTTGCCAGAACCGTTGTGGATCTCGAGAACGAACCTCTTGCCGATGAGCAAGATGAAAAGAATTCGCTACTCGACAGAACACGTTTCGAGAGCTCGTTAGATGCAACACATCTAATGTCTGTCATTTGAATTACTTATGTCATTTATTCCAATTTTTCTATAGAAAAACGAGGGGCTTAATCTCCGTTAGAGATCTAGAAATTTGTTAGTTTTATCTACATCTTATATCTGTATATTTCTTTCAACATTTATGCATATATCATACTTTAGTTAGTTACTGCTTAAAAATCAATAAGTTAAGTAAAGACAATGACCTATTTTCACATAAATGGGCAATCTAAATTATTATATATTTTTTATCAAAAGTCAAAAGTATAAGATTGGCATGAAGAATTAATTAATTGAAGAATTAATTTAAACTATTTAATTATTTAAAACATGTAAAAAATTCAAATGTAACTGAAACTTGCTCTATCGATCATGAAAAACAAATTCTAATTTTATTTCTCAAAGTCCATCAAAAATAGCATTTGTGTCGCTCTCGTCGTTCTTAAAGTTATCAAAGAAATCATAATATTTTTACAAGAGAGACATTTGGAATTGTATCGTTTTTGTAAATAAAAAAGAGAGCCTTTTACAGAGTATATTTAGAATTAAAACAATTTTGGTGAATGAAGTTTGAAAAAGAAATTATTTTATTTTAAATTTAGCAGTTCTAATAAAATAAAATGTTGGTGATATTTTGAGTTATGTCACTTCTGATGAAATATTCCGAACTTGTTATTGTACAATTTTGTTATTGTGAGGAAATAACCGTTATCGTAGATAACAAAATCGACACAACTAAAAAAAGAATAGTATTTTCAAGACTAAAACGAAAATAATCAAAATGACAGCATTTGAGCATTGCATATTTCTAAACTTTTTACCAATTATTTGATTAGTCAAATATTTCCTATCAAGTTAAAAATAATTCCCTTTTTCTAAAAAGAATCTTCATTTTTTTTTAGTTGCATCACTTTTGAGGTAAAGAAATGATATGTTCCTTTACTTCAGAATCACATTTAGAAGTGAAAGAGATGTATTAAATTATTCATCCATTTTATTTATAAATATATAACCTTACACATGTAAAGCCATAATATTTATAAGTAACCGAATGAATAATTTAATACAATCTCATCGCTTCTAAATATAAACGTACGTACTTTCGTTTTATTTAATTTTCATTATCGTTTACTTCAACTTCATCGCGAGTTTCATGAATGGCACTACAACAAAAGATAAGTGTATGACTCGAGAGCTTGTTTTAGTTCATCGTTCAATGTGATTCGCGATAAGACACGACGCACTTCTTTACACACACACACACACACACACACATGCACCTCGCATCGCTGCCACTCTGCAGGAAAAGCGCGATAAAAGCCACCGAGTATTTCCGGTGTCGCAAAATGTCGCCGATTAGCGCGATTAAACGAGGCGTACGAGACGCGTGTATCGATAAGCGACATTGTCGGTGAAAAATAAACGATAAATTCCCACGAGACGACTTTATCGTTTATAACGAGCCTTTTATCCCGACGAATCTTACGCAAAGTCGCTGTTCATTGAACGCCGACTTTCATTCGTTATGAAAGACGCAAAATTATTGTTATTAATGTTAACAAATCCGCACTAATCTCGCCTGACTTGATCAATTTCAAATCTGACTTTCATTCGTTACGAAAGACGCGGAATAATGTTTATTAATCTTAATTAGTTCACGCTAATCTACCTGAATCGATTTCAAATTAAAGACCGTACGTAAAAAATGGATTATTGATTATTTTGATAAGGAAATAATTAAAGAAAAGTAAAACACTTACAGTAATGTGCAACTCGCTGCTGCTGCCCGAATGTTCACAGTCTGGAAACATATTAAAGATCCAGAAAAATCAACAACATTATACAATACATATATTAGCGTTATTACTATTAACTAAACGAGTAATATCGGAGAAAATATCAGTAAATACTTAATTAAAAAATAACATAACATCAATACATAATAAACATAATAATAAATCATTTTATAAATGTACAGTCTTGGCCAAAAGTATAGTGACCACTTTATTAATTATTATTTAAAGTTTTAGCTCAAAAAATAATTTACGATATTTGTTGTAAAATATTCTTTGTTTCAAGAACCGATTAAACTTATATATAATGCCGACAACTGATAAGTGACAATGTAGATAAATGAAAAAAATTTAAGGGCCTAATATTTTTTGCCAAGATTGTATACATTGCATGTATGTTTGTTAAACTATTATTATTATATTTAATTGCTCTTATTATTCATTTATTTTTATTTAATTATTATTAATTACATTACAAATTCATGCTAAGCATATATAAATGCAATGTATGTGTTAAATAACAGTTACCATTGATTGTGAAATGACAAAATTAATGTTACGTTGCTTTCAATAAGTGTTGCTGTATAGATAAAACTAAAGAATTTTTAATTCCTATAGTTACGTTATACAAAGATTAGAAAAGTGAACGATAATTAAATTGTTATCATATTTTTTAGAGCGTTATTTTACTCGTAACATTATTAGTTCTCCGATTTATTATTATTATTATTATTATTTTGTACCACCTATCAGTTTTATTTTCTTTGCTATTATATTATATATATTTTTTGTTATCAGTATCTTATATTATCGTTCTAATTTCAATTTCTTATTACATTAAGAAAAAAATGTAGTAGATTTTAACAAAGATTTATTTGATTTTAATGAAGATTTGTATGTACTAATTTGACATTTACTTACATTAAATAAATATTGAGTAAGTAAAGAAAAATGATAGTTAAATTAAATTAATTGGTTCTGGTAAACCAAATAAGTACATGTTTACATTTAGTAAATATTCAGCCAATTCCATTCATACAAACAATTTCATTTATTAAAATTTCTCAGAATTATCAGTTTAAAGAATCGATTTGATTAAACTTTCTAACTGCATTTATTAAATTTAAAAAAACCTTTTTTTCTATGCATTCAATGTCTCAGCTTTCGATCGCAATTTCATTTACTTGCTTCTCTGCTGTTTAACTTTTTTTTTTACAATTTTATTGCATATTAATACAATTATTCTTTGTATCGAGCATTTCTCCATCCACGTTTCACTTTCTTCTTTATTACACAGAAAGAGAGAAAGATTTCTTTAAATTTAATAAATGCAGTCATTGGAATAGTCGAACCAAATCCATTTTTTAAATTAAGAAATGTAATTGAACGCATTCAAGTAAAATTTTTAAGAAACAAAATAATTTTCATTCAAAATTAAATTATTTCAATACGAAATAAACATAAATAAGAGTTTCGAGTCCAAAAGTAAATCTTTCAATTTATTATTATTATTATTGCAATTATTAAACATAAATATATTTTAAATAGTTTTAAACATACTTAATTGACGTTTTCAATGTTTCTTTATACCGTTCAAAGCATATTTGAAGCATTAAGAAGAAACACAATGTGTTTTATTCTTAAAAAAAGACGTTAGTCTTTGCCAACCCTAGCAAAAAGAATGTAGAAATACGTAACGTGATAAAAATGACGGCGAAGGTAATCAAGGGACATTTATGAATACGACAAATTTACTCACCAGTCGTTGTCCTCGGCTTCATCCCCGTCGGTTCTCCTCGTCCAGGCACTCACTCGCGATAAATCGATCGCGGAAACCGATAACCCGGGCACGCACCCGGCACTCGTTAACAATCGCGCGACAAGGCTTCGCCACTCCCGGTCGTTCGCGTAATTGACACGTACACACGTTCGATTAGCGAAGAAAATTAACGACGCGATTGCGAATCGAACGCGGGCGCGACGAGGGGTAACCTGTTGCTGCTGCTGCTGCTGCTGTCGGGAAATCGAACGTGTGATCAAAATCACACACGTCGGCAGACAACGATTGATTGGGAACGCGTAATAATTTCGTGTACGAAGCGAGTCGCGCGGCACGCTGGCGAACTTGAAAAACAATCTCAGGGTTCTGAAGTCTTATATTTTTTCCTGGATTTCTAGACAAAATGATTTTCCGAAGAGAACAATAAAGGGGACAATAAATGTGTAAACAAATTATCTACCGAAAGCCTTCAATTGCCTTTAATTGTCCCAAGCAAATATCTTGAAAAATACGAAAAAATGTTTCAGGATGAAAGTAAAAATTCCGAATAAACATATAAAATAAATTATGATATAATAAATAAGTAATAATTATAATGTAATTAGTAAATAATTTAATCTAACATAATATAATAATATGACGTGATTAACAGATAATTAATAATTAAATAAATGATAAATAAATAATAAATAATTAAATTTAATAATTGTAACATAACAAGTATGTAATATAAAGTGTATACTTTCGAACTTATTTTATTTATCATTATATTTATTATAGGTAAATATAGGTAAATATAGATTTACACATTTATTATAAATTTATCTGTGTACATAAAAATATAGAATCGCGCAATCATGAGCAATGAAGAATCCCAAAGGAATACATAACGATTATTACGGATCTTCTCACAGAAACAAATTTCGCCCGTCGAGATACTCCGCATTAAGAGCAGAATTATTAAATTACGCGTTATTATTACACCCATGCTCGCTCGTAAGTGGTCAGGCATTTTCGCGACGAGGAGAGAGAGAACAACGATTTTAGAGGGAATTTCATTCGTCGGAGATATCTATTTCGGGCTAGATTCATCGCGTTCTATTGAACTCGTGCGACGCGTCTCGGCGAACAAACACACGCCTAACGATAATCGCGCGGCGACGAGGAACGCCATTGTTGGCATTCCTCGCGTTTACCTGTTGCGGGAAAATCGCCCATCTAAAGATAGGACACTCGATTTTCTATGTACTTCGAAACGAAATGGAAATTACTAAAGTGAGCGAATTCATTCACTAGAATCTGAAAGGTCACGAGATATAAAAGGTCGCTAAACATACTGCGCATCTTACCGGCATCTTTATACGTCGTCCACCCAACTAACGCTGTGACGTCACGGGGATCAAAAATCCACACGCAGGGACTCGCGATCGTAACGGTTTTTCGAAGAACTCGCACTCCGTCCAAATTATACTGTTTGCAAGTGGAAAAATATGCACGCTTACACTTCCTAGACACTCGTCGCAACGTCCGATGCTTCTTTTCGTCCGAATTATATACTGTGGACGAATCGAGAGTCGCGAAAATCGCGGAAAGTGTCGCGCGTCTTCCCGGTATTACGCCGTCCACTCAACTGAACTATGCCGGTGTGACGTCACGCAGTCAAACGCCACGGGGGTCAAAAATCCACGCGCAGGGACTCGCGATCGTAACGGTTTTTCGAAGAACTCGCACTCCGTCCAAATTATACTGTTTGCAAGTGGAAAAATATGCACGCTTACACTTCCTAGACACTCGTCGCAACGTCCGATGCTTCTTTGCGTCCGAATGATATACTGTGGACGAATCGAGAGTCGCGAAAATCGCGGAAAGTGTCGCGCGTCTTCCCGGTATTACGCCGTCCACTCAACTGAACTAATGCCGGTGTGACGTCACGCAGTCAAACGCCACGGGGGTCAAAAATTCATACGCAGGGATTCGCGACTGTTTTTCAAAAAAATCACATTCCTGATTACATTGTTCACGAGAGTTATGAGGCAATCCGAACGAAAAATATGCATGCTTACACTTCCTAGATGCTTATCATGGCATTTTCGATATTTCTCTGCGTACGTAATTACGTGTAATATACTATGGACGAGTCGAAAATTCGCGGAAATCGCGGCAGGTCTTGCTTGCGTCGTCCACTCAACTAAAATGACGCTATGACGTACATCATAACGGACAAGCATCACAGGGGTCGAAAATCTAAACATAAGGACTCTCGCGATTGTAAACCTTTTCGAAGTAATTCTATGGCATTCCGCACGTTGTATAAGTGCGTTCCGTTTGACGCATCAAATAAATATATGTAAATTTAATTAATATTTACCTACAATTAAAGCTATTCAAACATTTCAAATATTTATTGAAATTTAATTTTTTTTTCCAATGCACATTGTTAAATTTATAATATCAAATTATATTTTAGTTATTTCTAATTCCGATTTTAGTTATTTCTAATCATTTTCATAGGTCACTGCTCGCATTCATTATGTCGTTAATTTAATTAAAACAATGCAGTTAATCAATTTAACTCGAAAAGATATATATTAAATTTAACTAAAATTTAGTTTGTTATTTACTAAATGCATATGCACGTTAATATGGATATCACTTTGTTTGAAACAACTGAAACTCTGACTACAGAAACATATGATTTACATTTCGACGCACATATAGAAGTTAAAAATAACAAAATGTTATTTTAATTATTAAGTATAATTTTACTGGACTATCAGAATAATTACGTGGGACACTCGAGTTGTTAGAATATCAAAACTTTTTGCAACATTATTTAAGCGTATTCTACAGAATTATTTTAATAATTCAACAAAATTATTTTCAATAATAGAAATTAACTTAAGGGATTAGATTTCCATTGTTCTTTTTTTCTCTGTGTTCCAAAAGTCGTTAACATTAAAATGTGTGGCGTCAAAATAATTCCAAAATAATTAAAAATCACTTTTCGATCGGAGTCGTGATTTATTTTAACATCATTTTGACGTTATGATGACCTATTCTTCTGCTTAAGGATGAACTTTCAGCAAGTAAAATTCATGACAAAGACGTAACATGTTATTAACCACTCGTGACGTCATACAATCAAGAAACTAAAGACTTGAAAATAAAAAAATTTATCGACAAGGAGTTGCAATCACTTTCTTTTTTTAAATAACAATCGTTGGACACATCGATATTATTAAGGCTACGTTTACATTGAATAAGAAGTGGCATATACTGGCATTATCTCACAATACTTATCGCATCATTCTCGATACCTTTTTACATTCACGATACGGCTTTCGCTGTAGTTTATTGATTATAAATCAAGTGGCGAAGGTAGCGCTTCCTTTCAGGCAATATCGATAATTGTCGTCGACCATGAGATCCGGAATTGTTCATCGCTTTACAACACGTTATTACAACACGTCAGGGTCTCACCGTAATCTCTGCTTCGAGCAGAGGATGGCCTTCCCGAGCGATCGTTTTTCACGACCGGCATCGGGACGACGGCGACGTCGCGACGGCCACCCGCGATATCCAATAAGTCCCGAGTGACCTTGAGGGCCTTGCCCCATCGACACGGACGACCGTGATCGCCCCGGAACCCTCAAGGTCCCCGAAATGCGAGATGTCAACCTCGCGGACTGACTTCGAGATCGATTCGATTTGCTCAATCAATGATTCAGCGTCGTCGGATGACGAGGCGCATAGCATCGCATTCTAATATCCATAAGGATGTATTACATGTATTTTTTACCAAAATTTAGCAATGCCTACAATGCGATTTTATAGCGCAAAAATTAAACTTTGAGCTTTAAGCCGTAATAAATAAATTGACTTATCATAGTCGAAATGTGAGGAGAATAATCGATTATCGGTCAATTTTTTATGACTTAAAACTTGAATTTTTAAATCGCGTCTTAAAATCTCATTGTAGACGCCGTTTTAAAGGGGAGAAAGATAGATTTTACTGAACTATCTAAAATTTTTATTGATTGACTGAATTATTTAAAAATTTAGCTGGATACAGATCTGAAAATAAATTTGTTGGACTGTTAAAATAATATGTAGGACGCTCCAATTAGATGTTAAAATGTCAAAACTTTCTGCAGCATTGCTCGTCACGCTCGAGTTTCCTACATAATTATTTTGATGGTCCAACAAAGTTACTCGCACATCTGTGTTTACCTAAATTTTTAGATTTACTTTAGGAAAATCGTTCTTTTTTGATCGTACAAAACTCTCTTTCAATCTGGAACAGTTTTAAATTAAAACAACTGCTTGTAGCCAACGAACCTTTTTTAACTTGTCTGTACTCCATCAAATTCCATTGAATAAAGTCTACGAAAAGAACAATTTTGCTGAAGTGTCTAAAAATTTAGCTTTATAAATTCAGATCTGAAAATAAATGTTGCACCATCACAATTATGTTTAAATTGCTAAAATGTCATCATTTTTTGTAACATTGCTCTTTCTGCTTGAACGTCCTACTCTCTAAAATCTTTAAAGTAGAATCTTATTCTGAAGGAATTCGAAAATTCTGCTACTCTTGAAAATGAGAGAAAATTCTGCCACTCTTGTGTGTTAAAAAGAATTTTTAATCTTTAATAATGAGATTTCATTCTTTAGAATTCTACTTTAAAGAATTTCGAGAGTAGGACGTTCAAGCCTGATGAGAAGTATTGCAAAAAATTGTGGCATTCTAACAATTTAAACATAATTATTTTGACAGTGCAACATTTATTTTACAGATTTGATCTAAAACTACAAATTTAGATACTCCAACGAATTCTTTTTTCCTATTCAAGTAAAATCAGTTTTTTTTCTGTTGATTTCAACACACTGAAGCAAATTTACTTAATAAATATTTTTCATATTTGTAAGTAAACATTTACTCTTATAGTAAATAAATATTTACTCAATAAAAAAATGATAATTAAATTAAATTAATGG